ATCCATGGCCACGGCCGGCTTGCCGTCACTCCGTTGAGCCGTGCTGTCGAAGATGCAAGCTACAAGACTCACACACAAACACACAGAGGCTGCTCCGCTCCGTAGCTTCGCGACCCCTGCCTGGCACGGCAAAAATGCGATAGGCTGGGACCGCTGCAACAAAGTGCAAAGCAGGATTTATGCTGCACGTTTTCTGAGATGCCTCAGCCACAAGGGCCCCTTGGCCTTGGAAACCCTGACGCAGGCGCCCTGCATAGCAATTGCTTCTACAACTAATTATCTCCACCAATTCGTTATCATGGCTGGGACGACGGAGCTGATGACGGTTGCGGTACCATCGATGAGCTTGTTGTACCAGGGCTCGTGCACTGACGCGGCCAGCTGGGCATTCATGTTATCGATGTTGCGCAGAAGCTCTTCTTTCTCGGTGGAATGCTTCTTCTCCATTTCCTTGATCTTCTGTTCTGTTTCACGCCCCAGCTCCTTTCTGAGGTCCTCCAGCCTCTGCTCCCAGTCCCTCACATCGATGGGCGAGGCAGACTGAACGAAAATGCCCGGGAAGACGATCAGCCGTTGCAGCAGGTCAGCGCAGGGCACCGTCGCGTTCTTAGCACCATCTGCATCCGGAACGTATGGGACATACTCGATGTATGTGGTTGTGAAGGGCACAGCCTTGCTCGCCACACCCAGCTGCAACTGCACAAGCTTTTGCAACTCTGCGAACGATCTGTCCTCTGTGAATTTGCACATATTGATGATGACGCCGTAGCTGTTGGGCCCAGGCTTGTTGCCACCTGGAAGAACGATGCATGACATGACCTGCTTGATAGTGTATAAGTCTTCGGGCTTCATGCGGCCAGCCTGCAAGGTCATCACGAAGAAGATCTTCACTCTGTAGTCCTGCTGAGCCGCTTGATTCAGGAACTGGTTGATGGCCTGGGCTGCCATCTGCGGCCCGTGGACATCGGCCAAGCCCGGCGTGTCGACGAACTCAACCATCGGC